ACTCTAAGTCATAGGGACTTTTAGGGGGGTAGGGGGAGGATCTATTCAAAGAAGTACAGTCCCGTACCCCCCTCCCCCTTGCCCCCCTAAGGGTAATGATGACTAAGTATCGATGTGTAAACGGCTTTGGGTTTAGGGTTTAGCTAGGGTTTGGGGTTTAGGGTTTAGGACGTGTAAACGGCTTGGGGTGTAAGGTTTACTCTAAATCCTGACCCAACATTATCAACCCTCATCCCACAAGCGCGGCAAGCAGGGTGCAGAGCTCAGTCGTCATCACTCGGCCGAAATCCAACCCCGAGGAATGATGATGACCACTACGACCTTGAACAGCCCTACCGTATAATCAATGCTCTCAAGAATTAAAAACGCAAACCGCACACCCCTTTGAAACATCTATGAAACTCTACAAAGCGTTGTCGAAGCCCGGAAATCCTTGCGCAAGATCTGTAATCTGTAACGCCCCAAACAAGCTCTGATAGAAACGATATTGCAACGACCAAACCCCTAAACACCCAAACCCTTTACCCCGAACCCCTGAAACTCTAAACCCTAAACCCTAAATACCCAAATCCTAAACCCCAAACACCTGGGCCTCTCGCAGTGGAGCCTTGTGAGGTGTAGGACTCGATTCCGGAGGCTGAGTCCTTCACTTTATGACATAGAAGTATAAAGGGTAATTGCTGAAGGGGCCCTATAGGATTTTCATCTGGTGTTTTAGGGGCTTGTCCCCTCTACATAAAGTATTATGAGGCTTTACTTTGCTTTCAGGGTTTCGGGGTTAGGGTTCAGAATTCAAGCAGCCCGTAAAGCAACCCGTATCGTGACCCGAAAAAGAAAGCGTTCCTTGTCTGAGGAAGGTTTTGGAGAATTACATGGCGCCCACAGCAAGGCTTGTCAGGAAGCAAGACGTATCAGCATCCTGGGTTCAGGAATGTTTTCGCCAATAACATTGCCACAAATTCCAGAGCAATTTCGCCCTGACTGACGGTATTTTTTGTCTTGACAGAATAAGAACAGGTCAATACTCCCCACCCTAACATTTGGGCTTGTCTGACAAGATAGGTGCAGGCTTTTGGTTTCAATCTTTTGCATTTCCTGCTAATGGATCCAAGAACATACACACACAAGTCTCATCCAGTTACTGTTCATTCACTACTAATCATCTGTACTTGTGGAACATGTCTTGATGTTTTGAACCAAAACTGAAATAGTGCTTAATGAACGCAGCCGCAAGTAAGCGGGCGAGAGTAGAAGCAGCGCCGAACCGATGATTAGACACCGCACCTGCGTAATGCAGTAGGTAATGTGCAAAAACACTCATGTTACATTTAAGGTATATCCAAGAAGTTTTCAAGTTTTCAACTCCCGTATAAACGAGGTCAGCGAGTGTTTGACTGCCAACCTGCTAGTACTGTGCGAAAACACTCATGTTACATTTCAGCTATATCCAACAAGTGTTCAACTACTGTAAACTAGACCAGCGAGTGTTTGATTGCCAACCTGCTAGTATTCACGTAACTGGATTTCAAGCGTTATTTCATGAATACTTACTCAACATCCTGTTAGACGAATCTTCACAGGTGGCTGCTGTAGTAAACTACTTAGGTTGGTAATAATGAAAGACATCGTACTGAAGCTATGAATTATTTACTTATATTGGGAACGAGACAGCAATAAATGCGATCTGTGCAAGTAAGATTTTCATTTTCAAGGCAAAATCATACACGTTATATACATAGCCTGACGTAAATACAAAGTTTTTGAATTGGCGACACATTCCTGGGCCCAACATCATCACGGAAGGGTAACTCAAGCTATCCAGTTCCTCAACATTGGTTGAACCATGACTAACTTCGAAATGCATCAGATTACCCACTGTCCCGGTATATATAAATGAGCAAGATGTCAATCTCAAACTGGGTTCTGACATGTTGTAACACAGACATCAAAAGTTGAACGAGTATCAGATAGCTACAGATTGTGGATGGTTTCCTTGCGTTAGATGAGACGCAGTATTACGATGTTGAACTCGTATAACCCAGTACTAAACCACTAAGCGGCACCAAGTAGGTATCAGCCGAAAACTTAGAAAAGGAGTTCTACAAGCTTCAACGTCAAAAAGACTAGTTTCTTGATGGGGTTAGACTTTAGACCTTGGATTTTGAAAGTGCTCCAAACTCCAAACCCCAAACCCTAACCGTTAGGTTTTTTGGGTTTATGGTTGATAGAATTTAAGGTGTTAGGAATCAGTTTTTTAAGACCCGCTTTGACAAAAGAGCTTAACATGCGTTGGCGTTTGATACAATGCCGGCGCAGGGCTCAGACTTATGGCTTCTTTCGGTTTCAGGGTTCAGTTCGGCCTGAACCCCAGACCCTATAATGTATAGGGGCCTTAATGATTAGAATAGGGCTTGGAGCTCAGTATACTACAGTTTGAATAAGGAGCCGCCAAAATAGTATGGGTAATTATTAAGGCCCCTACATTATACCCCGTCACGATTTGGAGCGTTTAAGCTGTCGATGTCTTCTTGGGGCTTGAAGAATTCAGGGCTTGAGCGCCCGGTCAAGGGTTTGCTGTAGGAGGTGATGTAGAGTATGGTTTATATTACTAGTATCCCCATAATAAAACCCAATACATACACTCACCAAAATTCAAAAGGAGCCCTATCTACACTCACCAAAATGGTAATATAAGCCCTACTTCATGTAGCTTAGTCCGCATGCTTGGGATAAACAATAAGGCGGTCAAGCGCCGAAAGTGCCACTATTGAGGAACTAGGCAAAGGTGCGATCAAGACAGATAGCCCACTGCCATGGTTGCACGTGAGGATTCTGAATGATTCTGAGCTAGGACCCATAAACTGTGGTCGATTGCAGCACCCGGGAGTTTCCAAAACTACGGGGCCTGATGAGGAACTCTTATTGCAACAGTGCGCCTCGACTCGGTACTGATGCCCTTCAAATGGCCTCAGGTGCTCTGCTTTCCAGCACATCATGGGAGGACAGCGTACCCACTTAGCCTGGGTCTGGTGCCATATTCCGGAGCGGAGCATGTGGGGTAGTCCAGCCGGCAACACATTGATCTCCTCCGGTGCCGCGAGCATCTCGATGGACGTGCACTCCATCAGCTCCGGCAGGGTAAGCTTCGTGCTGACGTAGTCATCAGCATACATCTGGAGGGTGGGTGGGTGGAGGGTGGGGGTCAAACGACGTCCCCGAAATCCCGACATAACCTCCTAAATCCTAAACGCCTAAACTCCAGCCAGGACTCCCAAACTGAATACGTTCTTATTGTATGTCATAGTGTATTCGCGTAGGGGCTATAAGAGAATAGTTTAATTAACCAGTCTATCCCCTGTACCGGCAGCTCACAGATACCCTGCAATGAAACAACCCAGCGCCGACATCAGATCCTCCTAATCCTATCCACCGACCTGGTCGTCTGGGCTGAGGAAGATCTTGTTCCTGCGGTTGGCGCCTGCACACAAGGCGGAATGTGGAACTGGGCACCAAGCGAAAAAACGCATTGTTTCCATTGCAGCTAGGGGCGTTTCACACGACTAAGGAAACAACGACTGAAAAGGGACCAAAGCAAGCAACAAACAACTGCAGTCCGATGACCCATGATCGGCAACAAAGAAACCCAACCGACCAAGCAACCAAAGAACCAACAAGCAAGCAAGCAAGCAAGCAGACAAGAAAGCAGGCAAGCCACCGACCAACTAACCAACCGACCAACCGGGCGGCCGGGCGGCCAACTAATCACAACAACAGCAGCAACAACAACAACAACAGAAGCAGCAGCAGCAGCAACAGCAGCAACAGCAGCAGAAGCAACAGCCACAGCCACAGCGACAGCGACAGCGACAGCGATAGAGACAGCAACAGCAACAGCAACAGCAACAGCAACTGCAGTGACAACAACAGCAACAGCAACAGCAAAAGCAATCAGAGCAGCAGCAACAGCAACAGCAACCTCAACAGCAACAGCAACAGCAAACGCAACCTCAACAGCAACAGCAACAGCAACCTCAACAGCAACAGCAACAACAGCAGCAGTGGCGAGCATCAACATCAAGGACAAACAGAATTGTTGCCAATATCCTTATCACCCTTCGACCTTTGCAATCGATAACCTTACAAAAGTACCATGAACGTCAACATCATCACGACCATGGCTATCACAAGCATTGCCAACGTCGCCCTCATGATTTCGGGCCTTTGCTTCTCGAGTTTAGTAACTCCTTGGAGGATCATGGGACTTAGTATGTAGGGTTTAGGGATCCTGAAACGGGATCCTTCAAGGGTTCCTTAAAGGGATCTATAGGGTTTAGGGTTTAGGGTCTACTTGGAGGATCATGGGACTTAGTAAGTAAGGTTATAAGTACCTTCATTGGGGTTATAAGTATAGTTACCCTAATTATAACCCAAGTTACTAAGTCCCATGATCCTTTAAGTCAGCTCAGTTGAACTCGAAGTTGGAATGCTTTCGCCTGGTTTCAGGGCTGGCAGGCGCAAGGTATGGTCAGCACGTGCCCTGTGCTCGGGTTCGACTAGGAATTCACAAAACCTGGTTTGTAGCAGGGTTCTGGATGCTCGCTTGCTAGGAGCATCCTTGCTCAAGACGGAAATTGCCGCCACAGCTTCTGGCCTGCATGCTACAGAAGTCGGACACGCATCCACCCTCTCATAACTCGGTGCTGCCACACCAATGCAATGCATCTGCAAACTGTGTCCCGAGAATTCCGTCAGAGACCGGCTACAGATAGAATGGTTACTATGCCTACATGGGACCAGTAATTAACCTCCTACACAAGAAACTGGCCTTCGATTCCAGGGCACTTATGAAAACCGGAACGTGAACAACAAGCATGCCTGCAATGCAGATAGCCCCTCGGAGGGGTAGGCCTGCGAAGTGAACAAATTAGACGAAGGCCTCTGCAGGTCTGCAAGCCCTGAGCCCACAATCCGACGACCTAAAGACTTTAAACCCAAAGCGTCCAAAACTAATCGATTTTAACTAACTTATCGACCCGATTCCGAAACACAAAACCCCCAAACACTAATCCTAAACCTCAAACACCAAATCCCGAACCCTAAACCCCAACGTCATGCCGAAACCCTAACCCTAAACCTTAAATCACAAACCCCTCTGAATCCCTAATCCCTAGACCCTAAACCCTACAAAAAACCCGAACCCGCAAACCCTAAATCACTAAAAGCCCCTGTAGATCCCTTATAGTACCCTCATAGATCCCTTATAGTAACCCTTATAGATCCATTCAATGGAACCCTTACAGTAACCCCTCAAGTTTCGGCCTGGAAGAGGCTTCACCGGTAGATCCTTCGTGGGTAACTCAGCTGCCATCTTCACCTGGGAAGATTTGCCGCGCAGGGGTTCAGGGGTTTTGTTTGTGGCAGTTTAGGGCTTAGAGGTCGAGGAGTTTAGGGGTGAGGGTTCAGGGTTTAAGGTTTAGGGTTTAGGGTTTAGGGGTGAGGGTTCAAGCTTGAGGGTAAGTTTAGGGCCCCTTCAGGGTTTAGGGTTGTGGGTTTAGGGTTTGAGTTTATGTTTTTGGATGTGGGGTTTAGGGTTTGGGTTTATCTTTGTGGGTTTAGGGTTCCCAGAGACTCCAATATCCTTTAACGAAGGAGCATAGCTCAAATTGAGGTAGGACCCCTGTAATGATTTTGGGTATAATCTTACATTAAGGGATATTGGAGTCTCTGGGTTTAAGGCTTCGGGCTTAAGGCTTGGGGTTCAGAGCTCCGACTCCCTTTTTGGGTGGGGTCTACGAAAAGTAATTGGGTAGCACTCTAAATGAGGGTCACTTTTAAGGTCCGCAAAATAGTACGGCCACCCCGAAAAATCAGACCCCAATCTAGAGAATTACCCAATCCAGTGTTTAAAGCGGAGCTTGAGGTTTTGAAGAACTGTGCTGTGCTCCACCAGAGAGCGCCAGACTCAACTCAGCTCAGCAAGCACCGATGACAACCGAAGTGCCATGCTGAAGTCAAAATATCTTGCCTCTGGGTGATACAGCACTGCAGCACGTTGGTGCGTTGAAGTTAGCCGAATACGTTTGTTCCCGTGAGTTCTCAAAATCTTCAGAAACACGTGCTGGCAGAGCTGCCGAGTGGAAGGATGTCATCACCCCCTGCGCGTTCCGACAACTGAATCTGAAACAACCGGGGCCCATGCCAGAAAAAAACGGTTTCCTCAAAGCCCATCCAAGACCGCACGGACACTATCAACATGTGAAGACTTGGAGCTTACAGTCGTGGCGGTGAACATAGGGGCCAAAATGATGAGAATAGGGTTTTGGGGCCCCGGGTAGTCGAATTGTAATACGGAAGCCCCCAAATAGTATTGGTAATTATTGAGACCCCTATAGTACATATACTATAGGGCTAATCACCCAAAGACTTAACAAATAGTTGGCGTTTTTTCAAGCTCTTGCTTGCCTACCCTAAACCCTAAACCCTAAACCCCAAAACCCTAAACCCTAAACCCCCCCCCACCCACCCACACTGTCCGGGTTCTGGACGTCTGCCCAGCCTTCCCCCTGGATCTGAATCGCACCAGTTTGGATCTGGCTGGGTTCTGGTTATTTTGTTGTGGTTTGGGATTTGCGCTGCAGGATTCAGGGTTTTTGGGTGGTCTTTATGATTGTAGTTGCGGTTGTTCTGTTGCAGCTGCTGATGCTGTATGTGCTGCTGTTTCTGATGCTGCTTCTGCTGCTTCTGCTGCTGCTGCTGCTGTTGCTGTTGCTATGCTGCTACTTGTTGTCGCCGGGGGGAACGGGAAGGGTGTGCCCTCCCCGCTCTGTCCTGTGTTGCCACTCGGCCATGTCTTGTTTGTTCTGCGCCGCTGCAGGCACCCTCCGCCAGCTCCCCACTCAAAGCCCCCTTCTCGTCCAATTCCTCGGCCAGACCCTTCCTGTCCCTACTAGTAACTAGTACTAGTACGTGCTCGTGCTCCGAACTCCGCCTCCGCAGTCCGAAACACCAAAACCCTGAACCCTAGGCCCTGATAAGAATCACATTCCCCAAACCCGAAAACCGACAAATCCAGGTTACAGCCTGCAATGTGCTATAAAACCATACAGCCCTAAGCCCTTACTCCTATTCAAAATCCTGCCAAGCCCAAATCCTGAATCCCCGATGCCAAACACCGAAACCAAGTAAACGCAACATGTGCCTCTTCGAAGACAGGGCCCCAGCAAACCCTAAACCTCTTGAACCCCAAATCCTCGAAGACAAGGGCCCCAGCAAACCCGGGTTCAGGAACTGTGGAATCGTACGCTTTCTCCGATACCTGCCAGGGTTAAGCCGAAGTCTTCATGAGTTTCTTTACATTCATGATGTGGGTAGTTGTCAAAATTAGGGTCCCTTTTTGGAGCACCCTGAATATTAGGTGCCGTACTATAATAAGGACCCAAAAAAGGACCCTAATTTTGACAACCACCCATATGGTTAACAGGGTTTAGGGTTTAGGGTCAGGGTTTTATCGTTTAAGGTTAAGGTTTAGGGTTTAGAGTTTTGGGGTATGTTACAACAATGCTGTAATAAGGTAGAAGGAAGCCGAAGGAACAGTATCACTAATTGCCGAGGCCAGGATTTTGGGGCAGTGGGGGCGGGTTGGCTCGACGCCCTTTGCAATTTATGAAGTGGCGCTTTCTTCGCGCACGGGAGTCCAACAAACTAGTCACACCATTTTCTTTTAAATTTGGAGCAGAATCTATATACGCACAAACCGATTCTGATCAATACGGCCCCTGCAGAAAACCTTTCAAAACCCGAAACAACCAAAAGAAATCCCTATAACACCTGGTTCACAAACTGCACAACCTTGCAGCATCCTTTGAATTAAAGTAGAAAGGGTTACCAAAGGGACTTAACAGGAGTTTAGTATGGTATAGGGGCTCTCATTATCAGAATAATCGGGTATTGTGCTGTAAAAACGGTTTGACGGCTTGCCCTAAACCCTACAGTTCCAAAGCCTAAACCGGAGGCTCGGGCTCTTTAAGTCTTAGGGCTGAGAGGTTTCAGGCCTTAGCGACTAGGGTTTGAGAGTTCGCGGGCTCAGGGTCTTGACCCCACAAGAAGCGCAGACTTACGGGCTACCCAGAGAGCCCAATACCCCTTAACTAAGGAATATAGCATAAATCATGATATGAAGCCCCTTTTGATTTCAGGTACATTGCTTAATTAAGGGGCATTGGGCTCTCTGGGTACTTAAAACCCTAAACCCTAAACCCTAACTTCTTTACTGCTTTTGACACCTCAGGGGGCAGAGAAGACCCTACACACACCTCACGATCTTTGGACCCCCAGAAGGAGCCCAGCCCTCCAAAGCCAAAACCCAAGTGTCCCAAACCCTAACCCAGTACCAGATGCCCGCTACTAACCCCAAGTACTCCAAACCCAAAGTACCCCGAACCCCAGACAGACCAAACCCCGGTACCGCAGCATCCAAACCCCAACGTAAAACCCGATCCCTGCACACGAAGCAAGCTCAATAAACCCTAGCTCAACTTCAACATGAAAGCCTTTATCCCAAAACCTAAAAGCCTTAAGCCCTAAACCTGAGAACCCTAAACCCTAAACTTAAAAAACCCCAGGACCTAAAACCTAAGAAAGCTGAACCTAAACGCCTGAAACCCTGAACTTAATAATCTAAAGCTAACGGCCATGCTGAATCCTAGACCTAAACACTCTAAACCCTTGCACTTCGACAGGGCGCCATAGGCTTCAGAAGCTCATCCTTTCCATGGGCGAAGTTGCACCGCTTGCCCTAGCATGGTTTAGGGTCTGGGGCTTTGGGCCTTACGGTTTGGGGTTTAGGGTTTGGGGTGTAACGGTTTAAGAGTTAGAGGTTTAGGGAAGCTTTCGGCCTGCCGAGATGGATTGATTGCTTGATTGGCTGATTGATCATTGATCGATGGAAGGAAGGAAGGAAGGATGGATGGATGGATGGATGGGTTGGATGATTGGTTGATTGTTTGACTCTTTGACTGATTGATTGATTGAGTGAGTGATTGACTGATTGAGTGAGTGAGTGTGTGAACGAGTGAGTGATTGATCGGTTGATGGAGTCTGACTGGTTGATTGATTGGCTGATTGAACGGATTCATGGATTGACTGACTGGTTGACTGTTTGACTGATCGATTGATTGACTGATTGATTGATTGATTGATTGAGTGAGTGAGTGAGTGAGTGAGTGTGTGAACGAGTGAGTAAACGAGTGAGTGAGTGATTGATCGGTTGATGGAGTCTGACTGATTCATTGACTGGTTGATTGAACGGATTCATGGATTGACTGACTGGTTGACTGATTGACTGATTGACTGATTGACTGATTGACTGATTGACTGATTGACTGATTGACTGATTGACTGATTGACTGATTGACTGATTGACTGATTGACTGATAGACTGATTGACTGATTGATTGATTGATTGATTGATTGATTGGATTTGATTTGATTTGATTGATTGATTGATTGATTGATTGATTGGATTTGATTTGATTTGATTTGATTTGATTGATTGATTGATTGATTGATTGATTGATTGGTTGGTTGATTGATTGATTGATTGATTGATTGATTGATTGATTGATTGATTGACAGAGGACTGATGACCGATGCGCTTCGACGGATCCTCGCTAAATGTCGGATAATGGGGCTCTCCATGAACCCATTTCCACTGCAAGTACGTATTCCCAAACTCCCCCGGCTCTTAAACTTCACTTCACTTGCAACCTAAATCCCAACGGAGCTGAGGCGGTCTTTCGTCGCCGCGACCTATCAATGGCGCCCCCAAGTCCGCCGCAAATTCATCAAACGACGGATCCGCCGTCATCAGGATCTTGGGAATGCCACGAAGAGCAAGATGTACCCCGGTAGCTCCCAAAGACAGGCTGTGCGCCTCGTCTATAACGGCTACAGTGTCCGCTCCGTTAATCCAGCCTTGGCGGGACAAAGTTTCAATTCGGTCGCCGGTAGCATACAAAAGGTCGCATTCCCTGTCGAATTCAACCTCGCGGCGCCGGACATCTCCGGTTGTAAAAGCCACTCGAAGGTAGCTGCTCTGCTGCGCCACAAACTCCGCAGGATTTCGAGCGTTAGCCCTCGTAGGCTGATAGCATACAACCTTACGGCCGGACATCAGCGCCGCGACTGTTGGGGCACCGATGACGGTTTTTCCGATACCGGTGCGCGCCTTGACACATGCACATTCTGCGCCAGCTCCAAGAGCATTGCATGGCCCAAACCCCAAACCCTAGCAGCCCTAAACCTTAAACTCTAAACCCCGAAACCCTAAACCCTGAACCCCCATGGCCCAAACCCCAAACCCTATCGGCCCTATAATAAACCCTAAACCCCAAACCCCTAGACCCTCAAAGTCCATGGACCAAACCCCTAAGCCGTGACTTAGCTGGGCTTCCAGTGAACTCTACAGCTGGAGTTCGGAAGGGCGAACAGATCTAAATCCAAAGCTCTGGGTTTTGGGCTTAAGGCTTTATAGGACTAGGGTTTCGGACTCTTTATTAAGGTTTTGGGAGTTTAGGATTTAGGGCTTTATTGGATTAGGGTTTAGGACTTACTTCGAGGAGTTTAGGGTTCAAAATTTGGGGCTTTAGACCCTTCGACCTGAAGCTGTGAGGACTACGACTTTTTGGCAGCGTCCCCAAACACTCGTGCGCGAAGCCCTCAAACTGCATTGTATTACATTGTTATAGATCCTGTCATATGGTGGTATGGTACTATACTACATCATAACCTAGTATCTTATATAGTATGCTACTGTATGGTTGCATGTCATTTACATCGTCGTATGTTGTGCAAGGGTTAGGGGTTTTCGACATAAAAGTACGGCTGTCGGTCTGTGCGCTGGAGGGTTCAGGAAGTCCGGGACCTCCAGAGGTTTACATAATATGAGAAGTGTTCCTTCAGCGACTTTAGGGTTTGGGGTTTAGGGTGGGGGGTCTCAGTGCCATACGTGGAGGCTCATGGGACTTAGTATCTAGAGTTATAAGGTGCTCCTTACAAGGTTCCTTAGAGCAATCTATAGGGTTGAGATAATGTTGATATGTTAGGTACGGCCCCCATACAGTAAGAGTCTATAATAGGGCTACTATTAAGGTCCTACCATATCTATATTATGAATATTATTCCACTATTACTGAGTGGGGGCCGTACCTAATTGATATGATACAAAATCCGATCATCTAACCGACTATAATGTAATATAGTGAAGAACAGAAAAACAAAGGTTTCGGGCTTACGCTGTGCGCTGGGTTTTCACTGACGGCTGTCTGCATTCCCTCCTTCTTCTAATACCGCGCCCCTGCCCGTAATAAGGCTTCTTTCTTGCGCCTCAACTCCAGTCACCACGAACGGGATATGCCATGCAGATTGAATTCTTCTTTCTCCAGCCGAGTATATTCAAAGAGAAACATACAAAAACCGAAAGCGAATCCACACTAATATAGGGGCCTCAATAACTACCTATTGCAAAAAAAGGGCTCCTTACTATAATTGTAGTATGAAGGATCGTATTTTAAGGGCTCCTTACTATAATTGCAGTATAAAGGATCGGATGTTAGGGGCTCCTTACTATAATTGTAGTATAAAGGATCGTATTTTAGGGGCTTACTATACTTGCAGTATAGAGGAGCCCAAAACCCTAAGGGCTCCATATTATAAGTGTAGTATAAAGGAGCCCAAAACCCACCCCGACGAACCTGGCGGCAGTGGCCCCTCATCGTGAAAGAAAAGCCTGCCATCCAAAGAAAGGGTTGCTTTTAAAGGGATCTATAGTCGGCTTCCATAATAGAGGGGCCTCAATAATGAGAATGGGTTCGGGGCCCATTATCTCGTATTTATAATAAGGACCCCTTAGAGTAGTACAGGTAATTATTTAGGCCCGTATAGTAGGAGGTGTGAGATTTCGGGTTCTGGCCGGCATGGTCGCAAGTGTCTAGCTCCACGTGGATGTCCCGAGGTTTCGATGTTCTACGTGCAAGGGCCTTATCAATTACCACGGCCTGGTTGAAGAACAGGCGATGGTGATAGTGCAACACTCGTTGTGGCGGTAGTAGCACTAGGAGAAGCAGAAGTAGTGAATCAGCTGCAGTGACAGCAGTAACAGTTGTCGCGATATAGTATAGCACTGGCGGGCGACAACGAGTGGTGGTGGCAGTGGCAGTGGCAGTGGCAGTGGCAGTCGCAGTGGCAGTGGCAGTGGCCCGTGGCTGTGGCTGTGGCCGTGGCCGTGGCAGTAGGAGTTGCAGTAGAAGTTGGAGTAGTAGGAGTAGGAGTAGGACTAGGACTAGGACTAGGTGTAAGAGTAGGAGATAGTAGCACTAGTACTAGTAGTAGTAGTAGTAGTAGTAGTAGTAGTAGAAGCAGTAGTAGGAGTAGTAGTAGTAGTAGTAGTAGTAGTAGTAGTAGTAGTAGTAGTAGTAGTAGTAGTAGTACTAGTACTAGTACTAGTACTAGTACTAGTACTAGTACTAGTACTAGTACTAGTACTAGTACTAGTACTAGTACTAGTAGTAGTAGTAGTAGTAGTAGTAGTAGTAGTAGTAGTAGTAGTAATAGTAGTAGTAGTGGTAGTTTTTTGCAGACCAAATAAAAAAAGGGAGGGTAGAACCAATAGCACCAGCAGGAGAAGGAACTTCGAGAGCAGTAGCAGCAGCTGAGCCCTCATCCTCTGCGTATTGGGTTCTGGGTACCCTAAACCCTAAACCCTATAAACCCTAATAAACCCTAAACCCTAAACCCTAATAAACCCTAAACCCTAAAACCCATGCCACTTGCCACCTCTGCCACAGCTCTTTCGGCTCCCACCTCGACCCTGAACCCTAAATCCCAACCCAAAAACTTCATGAACCTTCGAACATCGGCTGCAAAGCTGAGTGGCACAGACGAGTGCGCCACAACGACACCGAGGGGCGCAACTGATCCTCTTCCAGGGATTTGTTTCTTGCTGGACATGGGAGTTTGGAAAATCAGGCGCACCTTATTTTGAGGTCCGTATAAGGAGGATCCTACTATCTGAGGTACTATATTTGGCTCCCCTATAATCGCAAACTTTTTACAGGGGCGTAATGAAACCCTATTTGGCCGGAACCTTGCTCCCCAACTGCATGCCGCATACGATTGGTTGAACGTGAAAAAGCCTCGAGCCCCCAAACCCTTAAAGGCTGATGGAACCCCTTTCGAACCCTTGTAGCACAGGTCTCAAGACGTCGCTTCCATCGGCAACCATGCACAAATGAGTGGTATTTACAGGGTTTTCTCACTACACACAACATCCTGCAGAACGTTTGACGTGGCACACCGTCGCAAGCGTTCAATGCCTTGAGCGAGCCTGCCCAAACCACCGGTATTTAAAGACTTTTGCCACTTTACACAACATAAATTAGAAGGATGTTTGGTTTACATTTCTGTCATAAGACGCACTGTCGCATGCAGTGACGCTTTGAGTGAGCATGCCGAAAACACGTCTTGCACAGCGATTTTTGCCTCTTTGCACAACATTGGGCAGTAGTGATGGCGATGATGATGATTCACTACGAAACGATAACCGCGGTGTGGAACTTTGTGCAAACTACGATGGTTTCCAGCAGGCACCAAGTATCACAACAGTAGTAGTAGAGTAGTAGTAGTAGTAGTAGTAGTAGTAGTAGTAGTAGTAGTAGTAGTAGTAGTAGTAGTAGTAGTAGTAGTAGTAGTAGTAGTAGTAGTAGCAGTAGCAGTAGCAGTAGCAGTAGCAGTAGCAGTAGCAGTAGCAGTAGCAGTAGCAGTAGCAGTCGCAGTCGTAGTCGTAGTCGTAGTCGTAGTCGTAGTCGTAGTCGTAGTAGTAGTAGTAGTAGTAGTAGTAGTAGTAGTAGCAGTAGTAGTGGTGGTAGTGGATGCCAGCTTAAAGCCCCAAACCGATAGACCATACAGACACCCTTACGAAACACCTGACAGGACCTGACCAACGCCCAACTGAACACTTAAAGCGAGCTTGAGAATCTCAATGGTTTAAAGGAACCCTTACAGTCTTACAGTAGCGTTAACCTTATATCAGGCTGGTGGGTTGTAATCGGGGGTCCCCGGCGACTCCCCATCCCACTCGAAACTCGCGGATCAAAACCCTGACCGTCTTCTGCCAGGATTTAAGGGTTCCATGCAGGGACTATAAGAGTTTCTGGCGAGGCTTCGGTATTTCTATAAGGATTCTATAAGGCCTCTCCAAGGGTTCTTCAAGGGTTTTGGGGTTTAGGGTGCATTGAGCTTGAAGGATCGGGAGCCAAGTAAGTAAGATTGAAATCCAAGAGGGGCTTCAATGAGTCCAATGGCCTGTTGTGGACTACCAGGGACTGAAATTGGAACCACCCGAACATGCCCAACACACTTTTGTCGGTGGCTCCTCCGTGTGAGCGAAGAAGCACGTGTCACCTGGCACGAGTATCTTACAGAACCGGTCACGGACTGTGAACAATCGCTACATATGCGATGTGAGTCATGTACACGTGTGGACGACTCTACGTACATACATGCATGTGTGGGTATGCGTATACATATATTTGTATATACATATATATATATATATATATATATATATATATATATATAGACTTAATATAGAAGTAAATACATGTATATGCAGATATAGATAGATAGATTCTGAAAAAGACATATATGAACAGATTTGTTGTGTACATGCAGGTACATGCATATAATACCATGCACACACATCCACCCGTCCACTCATACGGCAGTTCATCCTCCCACGCATGCAGGCACGCGTGCACACACCACAGACGAAACTGCACATGCATGTACTAATTCAAATACGCAAGCAAACACGAATAATACAAACACGCTGATGCATGTTTACATATATTGGCAAGACGCTTCAACTCTCTTTTCCGGCAGTTCGCGTCTACGTTGTTCCGAGTCTCAGGTTAGATCGAACCTTATGCATAATGTTGAAGAGTTATCGCAAAGCGGCTAAGTCGCCTCTAAACACTCGAAACTAGCAAATATCGCACACAGATGTCTCGATACATATACCCGCACTAAACTTAACTTTCAACTTTACACCTTTGCGAAACTGTGTGTCCGGTGGGGCAATGAAGCCTAAAGACTATCCAACCCACAAGCCTTGAACCCAAAAACCTGCCTTAGAAGATTTGTGGCTTGAGCCGCCGCTATGAAGCTGAGGCAAGCTCGTGCGCACTTGCATTGTTCAAAATTTTCGACAACCCTCACAGAAAATGCTCAAATCACTACTCCTGGGTTGCGGGCTGGTATGCATTTTTCTGGGGTCTGGGTCCGTGCCACATGTAAATCTGCGCCCAGAGACGCGAATCCTAGACCCTGGAAACCTTAAACCCCAGGCCCTGTATCCAGAATATGCTATACCCGGCAAAAACTTTGACCATAATGTACTGTAGCCCTACGCCCCAACCCAGGATCGTCTTCGCACTGTCGACCCGCAGCCTCTCTTGCAAGCCCCGAGCTCGAAGAACTTGCACATTGTTGTCCGGTACCTGGGAGCGCCCGAAGAGGCGGTTTAGGGTTTTGGGTTCAGGGTTAAGGGTTTAGGGGGGGCCCTTGACGCAGCAAGGGCCAAGGGTTTAGGTTCCACGGTGCATGGCTGAGAACGGTTGAAAGCCTAGGACCCCAACAATAAGCCTAGGTTTTTGCGGCTCCGTATCTAGCTTCTATACGCAAGTATGTGTGTAGATATCTATGTGTGTATATATATGTATATAAACTTATCTGCGTACTTTTTCAGTTATTTATGATTTTATGTGCATGTATATTTTCATTTAAACATTTCGTTGCTGAGAGGTGATATTGCAATATACTAAATTGCGATGATAAGTTACTTTATCCTGTGTCACACAGCTGCATCTTCTAGTACTACATGTTTTGGTATTTTAGACTGTGCTATACTATGTTATGTTGTGTTAAATTATACCATATATATATATATATGTATATATATATACATACATATATATATATATATATATATCGCACTAAACTACGTGTTTGCTCTAGTACACTATCTAAACTTTGTATACAGTGTACAATTTCAGTATTGTGACAGGAATCCGCTGTGCTTGAAGATGTTGAAGGTCTATTCCTACATATGATGTTGCCGTGTTTCATATTAAACTACATTCGACTTAAACTAGAGTAGATTGGTTTAGATTAGGTTGAACTTTATTGTCATTACTGTTATTGCTACGGTAAATGCTACTATTAGTATGCACATATATACACCTGCGAAATATAGTTCCATGTTTCTTCGAAAAGAAGTGGGTTTCAGCAGGCTTGGACCCCAAAGCAGGGTGAATTTCTCAAAGAGTCTGGCATTTAGGACTAGACCTAAGCGTAACCTAGGAACCAAAAAGGGTGCCCTTTTTGGTTTAAAGGGGATTATAAGGGAACCTAAACCCTAAAAAAGGGAATAAAGGGCCTGCTCTGGTCCTAGGAGGAGCCACGGTTAGGGTTTGGGGTCCAGGCTTTAGGATAGCCAAAGTGCTCAGCAGTGAAAAGTCTCCCCAGCGAGCAATCAAGCACTCTCCAGGAGTTTGCGATTCAGGGTTTAGGCTGTGGAAACCTAAATCTGCACCCCTAAACCCCTGCACCCTAACCCCGAATCCCCTAGACTAGACCCTACACCCCAATACCCCAAAACCTTATACCCGGTGGTTGGCTGGAGGTGGAATTAAGGGGCCCCAAGGATTCGAAGAGGGTTTTACAATTAGCTCCTGAACTGCTGAAGCGGTTTAGCGTAGGGGCCTTACACAGCTGCTTCGGGTATAATATTAATATAACTTTAGAGTTGCAATAGAGGCCAGGGGATTAGGAATACTAGTTTTCGCCAGTACTAAGTTTTACGACCTCGTAGCTGCGTTTAAGCCAGCACTACAGTGACTACAGTGGTCGGGGACAATGAGTAAAGACATCCCCTTGTTGCCTAACTCCGCAGCATGTTCATTTTAAGGAGGAGCTCTATCAATCGGCGCACCCGTTCTGCCTTAAGTAAGGAGCTTGTGTGAAGGAGCCCTGTTCGAATTTACGGCGGAGCCGGATAAGTCGCAAGCAACGCAAGTCTAAACTTGAATCCCTAAACCCCACTACCTCCCAGACCGGAACGCTGACAAGATCCTAAACATAAACCCTCAACCTCAAATGACTGATAAACTTAAGACCAGGGTGCTTGATGCGATCGATGGGTCGTATTCCATGCGCTAAGGAATCGTTGTCTGCCGCTTTAACTTCCTGGCTGAAAGTGGGCTTTGTGCGAGCGGTAAGAGCTTTGCAGTGTCTTAGTCAGCTGTTTTGGGGTTTTATGATTCCGCGATGCAGTACTTGTTTCCAGTCGCTGAACCCAACATCCTGAAAAATAAGCTGCGTTTTAGTAGGCAGGGGTGTTGATATGCACGCATGGGAATACTAATTCCTGCTTGTCGGGTATCATGGGGACGAACTAAAGGTTAGCCTTTTTGGTTTTATAGGGATTATATAGGGACTATACTACCCAAAGAGGTTAAAGGTTACCTACTCTACTACTAGGGAATACTAATTCGTGTGGATGCTGCATCACCTGCACACACCCTTGTCAGAAATCTTGCGAGTCTCCAATAGTAGAAGTGGGAACTTTCAGATAGCAAGGGACCCCAATATAGAACCCGAATCGTAGAACTGGAGAGGCTCATCAAACCACCTTGTTAACCCCTATAATCCCGATGCCTCAACACTTAACCCCTAACTCCCTAAACCATTGGCCGCCCGCGCCCGGCGGCGGCCGGTACCACTGAACGCTACCGCTTCGAGATCTGCTTGCTTGGCCAAGCAGATCGAGTCTACCAGACCTGATTTGGCACTGCTAGCCATGGGGCACAATAGTAAAATTGGGTACCCTTATCTCCCAGCGCGAGAACCGTGTCGGGGACGGGACCTGGTAGAAAGAGCTTGACGAGCGACCCTGGCGGGTATGGCGGGCGACTCTGGCGGGGACGGCTGACGACCCTGGCGGGGACTTGGTGGACGGACGACTTTGGCGGGGACGGCGCGCGACCCTGGCGGGGACGGCGGGCAACCCTGGCGCGAACGGCGGACGACTCTGCTGTGACAGCAAAAGGGCCAAAAACAGCTTGGCAGACGACTCTGGAGGGGGACGGCGGACGACCCTGGCGGGGACGGCGGGCGACCCTGGCAGGGACGGCGGACGACTCTGGCGGGGACTTGGCGACTCTGACAGGGACTGAAAAAGCCAAAAACAGCTTGGCAGCTGGAGGGGATGGCGCCTTATCTCCCAGCGCGAGAACCCTGGCGGGGACGGGACCTGGTAGAAAGAGCTTGACGAGCGACCCTGGCGGAGATGGCGAGTCCTCTGGCGGGGACGGCTGACGACCCTGTGGACGGACGACTTTGGCGGGGACGGCAACCCTGGCGGGGACGGCGACGGCGGGTGAATCTGCGGGGACGGCGGACAACTCTGGTGGGGACTTGGCGATGACTTAAGACAGGCACGAAAAGGCCAAAAACAGTTTGGCAGACGGACGACCCTGGCGGGGACGGCGGGCAACCCTAACGGGGACGGCGGACACTCTGGCGGGCACTTGGCTTTGACAGCAACTAAAAAGGCCAAAAGGCAGCTTGGCAGACGATTCTGGAGGACGGCGGACGACCCTGGCGGGGACGGCGGGCGATCGTGGCGGGGACGGCGGACGACCCTGGCAAGGACGGCGTAAGGACCTTGGCCGGGACGGCGACCCTGACCAAGCGACCCTGGCGGGGACAGCGGGTGACCCTGCGGGGAGCCAGTGACGGGACGTCCTAGAAAGAGCTTGGGGACAGTGGCCGACTCTGGCAAGGAGCTTGGAGTGCGAGTCTGGCGGCAAAGCTGGACAATTCTGGCACGGACTGCCGGGCGAAAAAACCCTGGCGGCCGACTGGATGATCAGCACTCTTGGCCGGACTGGCACGGACAGCGGACGGCTGCAGACCACTTCTGGAAGCCTGGCACTGGGCCCTGACGGACGCCTCTGACGACGGCTGACGGACGACTCTGGCGGCCGGCGAGGACGAGCGAGGGCGTCGCTGCTATTTTGTGACTACATCACTCGGACGTCCCTTTGACGTTCCGCAACATTGCAACGTCTTTTCGGCTAGTGCAGCACTCGAATAAGAAGAAGCAGAACACAAAACCCGTTCTAGTCCTGCTTCGGGTGGTTGTGGGTGGGTTCCACGTTACGAAGACGGCGCGACCCACGACCACTCCATGGGTGGGGCGCGCCGTGGTACTGTGACACACCCTAAACCCCAAACCCTAGCCCCTAGCTCCCTACACCCTAAACCTTCCCGAACCAAAGCAGCCCCTGACCACCAACAAACGTCCATCCCGACTACTCCCGAAACGCCAAGCCCCCAAGAACCTAAAACTGTTGGGGGTCTTGGGTTTTATAGGGTACTTTTGGAACCCTGATGTTTAGGGCTCAGACTGCTTTCGCGCAGGTGTTCAAGGGTGTTTTCTATGTGACGTATCAAGCTCCTCCACCCCTGCACTCACCTCTCTGAGGGTTTACCTGAACCCGAAAAGTTTGCAGATGTATGCAGAATCAGAGCCGTATGTAGGTGTTGGGCCCTAGACCGTAAACCCGAAACCCCTAAACCCCTAAAGGCCCTAAGCTGCGGCGTTACCTACTTCTGGGTTTTTTTGGTGACCTCGGGCCGGAACCCTGAGCAAATAGATTCCTGTCAACACCAGAAAAGAGAAGCTGAACCCTAAACCTAAACCCTAAACCCCAAGCATGAACCATAGTAAGCCCTGTATGGGTAGTTCTCTAAATTAAGGTGCATGTTATGAGTGTGCCAGAAAGCCTGTTCGGAGGACTACCCCACATCAAGAATTACCTGCAGATCACTGCTTTCGAGGTTCAGTCGCGCCCGACTCAGCCATAGGCTGCCCCTGCGACTGGTTGACAATAGGGGTTTGGGCTTTGGGTTGAGGGTCAAAACAAGGTTGCTGTAGGTTCTCGGAGTATTCGGACGGCTCGTAGAAATGCTGTAGAGCAGGATCTTTTGGAGTGGCTGCGGGGCTTTTCTGGAGGTTTCACACGCTGGGTCAAGAGGTCCGGGTCTTTGGGTGGGGGGGGGTCGCATTTTCGGGCTGCAGGCTCCATACTAGTTATGATCTAGGGGCTTTAACAACTGGAACAATTCTTGAATAGGGTGTTGCATTATAATACTATATTAGGCAACGTCTTTTGAGGTACAGTATAGTTTATTCAGGAAGCTTCTGTGTGAATCTCTCTGGTTGTTGGGTGACAGTTACCCAGCTGTCATCGAAGGACATGGGCCGGTTTAAGGGCTAATTCCTAGGGCCCCAAAAAAGCACATAAGCAAAACTTAGACTGTGATATCCCATATAAACCCCCTGTTTTCATGAAGCCCAGTAAGGTAGGGATATCCTTACAAAAATGCTTATGCTTATGTGCTTTGGGAGTCCCTAATTCCAGGAGCTGAAGCTGTTCTTGCACGGCTCAAGACCCTAAACCCTACACCCTAAACCCCATGTCGTGGGGCGATTTTGCCTTGCGCCCGCCCCGTACCGAGGAGAGTCCCCGAGGCGATCATTACCCCTAAGGCTCAAGGTTTAGGGTTTAGGGTTTAGGGTGACCTGAGAGCTGATCAGCCTTACATAGTGCGGGTCTTTGGCTTTTGGGCCCGAGAGCCTGAAAATATGAGTCCTTAGAGCCTAAGGGTGCCGTAAACCCTAAACTCCTATGAACCTTACCTGTGCCCTAAGGGGAGTTGTCAAAATTGTGGCCCCTTTTTATCCTAAATATTAAGTGCCGTATTATAGTTAAGAACCCAAAAACGGACCCTAATATTGACAACCACCCATAAGAAAGTACAGCCACCGCAAACAGCTTACAGCCCACAGGCCCGGGGTCGAGCTGGGATCCCACCCTACGGTTTGAAGCTTAGGGTTTGGGGCTTAGGGCTTGGGGTTTTGAGTTTTGGCTTTGGGGTTTTGGGTTTAGGGTTTTGGGGTTTAGGGTGGAGGCGGCGGGGGCCCTTTGGGGGTGGTACCATCATCCTGGCTCTCGGCCCTTCTCTGGTCGCGGCGAGCTCGCCACGGGTGGACGGCGATCTTGGACAAAGCCTCGACGGTCGCCCGTCGCCGTCCGTCCCTATACTGAACTTAGAACCCTAGCAAAAATTACAATTTTAGCTGTTTCTTAGGGATTAGAATAACCAAAAACTAAAAATTATTTCTAAGTACCCCTAAGGTCCGAGGACGACGAGTCCGAGGAAGAACTCCCAGCAAACAGCCACCACCATTCAAGATTGATCGCGCATTCAGAGATTCTGGTCGGGCAGGCGCCTGGAGCCACTCGCAAACATCTAACCCACCTGGGGTTTAGATTGACACGCTGTAACGCAAAAGCCTATGAAATTAGGACATCTTACAAAGACCCTACCCCTTAAGAGCATATAATCCCCAAACCCTAGACGCAAAACCTTCAACTCCAACCCCTACACCCATACCCTAAAGAACTAAACGACATAGAAGACCCAAGCATCCGTCAGACTGACACACGCTGCGAACACCGCAATCTAGTTTAGGGTTTAGGGTTTTAGGGTTTAGGGTTTGGGGTTTAGAGTTTAGGGTTTAGGGGTTTAGGGTTCAGGCTCAAGAGTCCCTTTGAAGTTGAAGGGCCTCTTTAAGGGTTCCATGACCCTCAACCCTGAAGCACTACCCTACACCCATCGCCTGGAACTAGGGTTCAGAAATTTGGGTCTAGAGTTTAGGAGTAACTGAAAAAGCAAACCGTGCCTCCTCGACGGTCACCGGTCGGCTGTGTACAAACCTGCTTGGCCCAGGGTCCCCGTACATGTAAAACTATACTGAACTTAGAACCCTAGCAAGAATTACAATTTTAGCCGTTTCTTAGGGATTATAATGACCAAAAGTTAAAAAATATGTCTAAATACCCCTAAGGTACATGTCAACTGTGGAGTCTCTGTGGCTTCAGCTTCTTTTGGTAAGGTTTGGGTTTGTAAAATGTGTGGCGGCTTCTGCTTTGCTTCATGGACCCTCTTACCATGTACCTCGGAGCCTTAAGACGGCCGTTGCCGTGTTCCAGCTATAAGACTGCTTCAACGGAAGCTCCGTGCTTTGGGAAGGCCTCACGAATTTCCAGAAATCCTTACTGCAGCCACCTGTAAAGGAGCCCTATACAACCCACAAAGCCCTACAAAAGCCTCACTGCAAAACCATAAAACCTGGAATAAGAAAACCCTACAACCCTAAACCCCCTAAACCCTCATCCCTAAAACCCGAAAATGCCTACACCCCAGACTCTAAAAAAAAAACAGCCCTCAGAACCTTCAAAAAGCCCCTGTAGAAACCCTTACTGCAGCACCCTTCAAGAAACCCTACTTAATAGAAACCCTTATTACCGTACCCTTCCAGGAACCCTGAAAATCCCGAAGAAACCCTAAACCCTGAACCCTAAACCACAAACCTTAAACCCTGAACCCTAAACCGATCCTACACAAACCCCTGACTTCTGCAAAGAAAGTGCGCCTACAGGCGAGGCCCCGGTCGCACTCCCCTACCTCAGCAGAGCTTTAGGGGTTGAGGGTTCGAGGTTGAGGGTTTAGGGTTGAAGGTTTAGGGTTTAGGGTTGATAGGAGAAGTGTTCCTTTAAAGGGATCTATACAATGGTTCCTTGAAAGGAATCTATTTGGGTTTTTTCTTGAAAGGGCTCCATAAGGGTACTATAGGGGAACCGTTATGGCTTAACGATTAGGGCTTTAGGGTGTAAGTGCTTAGGGTTTAGAAGTTTTGGGTTGATAGGGTTTAGGGTATAGGAGTGCTCCTTGAATGGTTCCTACCTGGGAGTTCTGTTAAGGGTTTCCTGAAGGGGCTTCGCCAAGGGATCTATAAGAGGTTTGGACTTATAAGTGTAGTTAGGGGTTTGGGGCTTAGGGCTTTAAGGGTTTAGCGCTTGAGGGTATTTCGGAATCACGAGGTACTGTGTAGAAGAGCAAAACAGGTAGCCAAACTGCGAACAAGACAGGGTCAAGGTTAGAGGGTTCTACGGTCAGCAAGTGGGCTTCTGTGGGCCACAGGCGAGGTACAAAGAATTGGCCTTATGAAACTGACGTCCGTGTCGGTTCACCTAGGCTTTAACTAGATAGCAAAAATAGGGAGCTTTTGGGCCCAATACGCTACCTATAGTCTCCATTGTAGTTCCTTTTTCTGGTTCAACCAATTTTAAATTAAGAATCCTGTTAAAAGGTAACCCCCATAAAGAACTACAATGGAGACTATAGGTATAATGAGAATAAGGAACCCCGAAGATGGTTTTGGTAATTACTTAAAGGATCACGGGACTTAGTAACTAGGGTTATAGTTAGGGTAACTATACTTATAACCCCAATTAAGGTACTTATAACCTTACTTACTAACTCCCATGATCCTCCAAGTATACTGGCCCCTAGAGCAACTCACATGCTGCGACAACTCAGTCCTCTGAGGCTCAAGGGATCCTTTCGCTTGCATGTGAGTTGTCAAAATGATGGCCCCTAATTGGGTACCCTAAATATTACCTATAGTCTCCATTGTAGTTCCTGTTTTTTGGTTTAACAGATTATATAATTAGGATCCTATAAGGTAAACCTCAAAAGGAACTACAATGGAGACTATAGGTAGGTGCCGTATTATAATAAGGACCCAAAAAGGGACCATAAGTTTGACAACCACCCATGTAGGTTGTAAGCAGGCTTGCAAGTGCCTGAGTTAATTGGGCTGCTGAACTTAAAGTCCGACTTAGAACCTGCTTACTAAGTCCACGAATCCGATCAGTGGACGGTGAAGCCCGAAAGCCTGACCAAGTCCAAAACCCAATTCCGTGTTAATATGAACCCTAACATAAATGCCGAACAAAAGGATCCGGAGATATAGATAAACCCTAAATGACCCCCCTGTGAACAACCCCCCCCCCCCCCCCTTCAGGCAAGGGACCGACGGGTCCAGTGTTTTGAAGAACCCTAAACCCTAAACCCTAAACCCTAAACCCTAAACCCGAAACCCTAAACCCTAAACCCTAAACCCTAAACCCTAAACCCTAAACCCTGAACCGAGGCTTGGAGACTCCGGGGGCTAAGGCGTTTAAGGCTTTTGGGTTCAGGCCGAGGGTTGAGTAGTCTCGGCTGTTTAGTGACCCACTGGGAAAAAGTGTATACTTTAGAAGCTGCCCCCACCCTGTAATAGTGACCATAAGGATTATATAGGATTATATTAGGGCCCTATTATACTCCTATTATACCACTATTACAGGGTGGGGGCAGCTCCTAATGTATACTTGTTTTAGGCCTCTTATGTTATAGTAGAAACCCAGAAACCTGAGAGCAAAACAGTGTACCACTGAACAGCGTGGTAGTACATGATTTAACAGGGCTTTCAATTTATGACACAAGGCCGCAAATCGCAAAGCAAAAAAAAAACAAACACGGCACATAGACACATTTAGAGCCTGGGCTTGTCCGCTTGGACGTTTTCCGGGCCTAGGATTTGGGATCATAGAGTGCTGAAGCCGAATCCCGTACAGGGAGTTTCAAGTCTTTATATGGGAGTTTCCGAAAATTAGGGGTACCTTGTATTGGGGGTCCTGATAATAAGGATCCTACTATTTAGGGTACTATATTAGGGTCCCCTATTTTCGGAAACTCCCAAGATCTTGTGTGCTCCAGTTCAAGTTAAGATGTTGCACTTCAGCACTAAAGGATTCACGCCTTTGTCAGCTATGCGTTTTGGGCTGTGGGGTTGAAGAAATCTATGCCGCGGCTGTTTTACGTTTTAAGACTTTACGATTTCGATTCGAGTCGGCTGAAGGTCTTCGTATGTACTCTACTATAACCTCGCATGGGCTCTTAGAGATCTTGGATTCACAAAACAGCCAAGCGGCGGCGTAAAACTTGCAGATGCGCGAAGGTGGCGCGGACATGGCCATTCCATCGAAATTGAAGATCATTAGGGCAGCTCGAGCTTAGAGCCAGATACCCCAACTGCAAGACCCTGATTCGACAGCCGAAGTTCAGTCAGAAGGATGCTCTTGTCCGGCTGGAACATTGCAACAAGGCGGCCCCTGTACTTGATTCCGACTTACATCCACATCCGTTTGGAATTCTGCTATCCTAGGTCTTGGGTGATTCCTCGTCGTCTTGGAGCAGTCCAGCTCTTGCTCCTGCTCCTGCTACTGCTACTGCTACTACTACAACTACTACTACTACTACTACCACTACTACTACCACTACTCCCACCACTACCACCACTACCGCCACTACCACTACTACCACTTCTTCCACTACTACTAGTACTAAGTCTACTACTACTACTACTACTACCACCACTACTACTACTACTACTACTACTACCACTACTACTACTAAGTCTACTACTTCTGCTACTACTACTACTGCTACTAGTACTAAGTCTACTACTAGTACTAAGTCTACTACTACTACTACTACTACTACTACTACCACTACTACTGCTGCTACTACTACTACTACTACTGCTCCTACTCCTGCTGCTGCTACTACCACTACTACTACCACTACCACTTGAGCTACTATTAGTACTAGTACTAGTACTAGTACTACTGCTACTACTACTACTACTACTACTACTACTACTCCTACTCCTACTCCTACTCCTACTACTACTACTACTACTAGCGAGGCGAAAGGGGGGTCACAGGAGCACGCTGTCGCCTACTACTACTACTACTACTACTACTACTACGACTACTACTACTACTACTACTACTACTACTACTACTACTACTACTACTACTACTACTACTCCTGCTGCTGCTACTACTACTACTGCTGCTACTACTGCTGCTACTGCTACTACTACTACTTATAATAAAGCTAAAAATCTATTACTACTACTACCACTGCTACCACTACTAGTACTATAACTGCCACTGCCCCGGAATTGTAAACTTGAACCATAACCTCCAATTGAAGTCTGAACCCTACATGCGAAAGCAAACGGCATAAAACCTAACAGCTAAGCCATGGGGCCTCTTGAATGCACCGTTGCACGGTTCGACTTGGGCTGGGTTTAGGGTTTAGGGTTTCGGGTTTAGGGTGGGTAAGCGATTGAGGCGTAAAATGGAGGATTTGTGGTTCAGGGTTCCGGTTTAATTAGGGTTTTGAGGCTTCGCGGCTTCGGGGTTTAGGGACTGTTCGCGTGTCTATCGGGGCCGCGGCAGAAAGAAGCTTCTCCAAATCAGGGAGCACCGCTGGTGAAACCCACCCCTAAGAATAGTGCTTGGATTAAGCAGAGCTGCCCTCAGCGCGGTGTGAAACACCCGAGAAGTCGGGTTTCCACACAGACACAAGTTTTAACTGAAAACCAAGACGCTGCTGTAACCTAGGTCTTGCACAAACAAGTCTTGGGTGCTCACAGAAACCGCTGGGCTGTTTTTCGGGTTAGTCTCTCTAGACTCCAGAAAACACCACATCACGGAGACGGCGCAAGCACAGATCACGTTTAAAACCTTTCGGTACTACGCTAAACTGAAGCCAAAATCAGCGGCAGTCATGGGGGAGCTTCCGAGACCCGGGGCCGCAAATAGACTCTACCTTAACCTATCAAACGGTTTGTGAGGGTTTCGGGATTTATGGGATTTTAGAGTTTAGGGACTTAGGGCTGAAAGTTGAGTTCCTTGAAATCTAGGATGCCCAGTGACCTAGGAATAAATGGGGCTCCCACTGGGTAGCTTTATGAGTAACGTAAGACGACGAAAAAGGAATAAGGGTACTACGGGGCATCCTGCTTAACCTACCAAACCCTACTTTGGTTGTAGATTCTTACAAACCTTAATACGCAATTTATAGGGACCCTAGACAAAAGTAGGTTTCGGTAGGTTAAGGTACCTATTGCCACATGAAGTTCTCATTCCGGAGGCCAACCAACAGCAATCCGCAAAACTGGGCATTTTGACTCAGAATACCCTAAACCCTAAACCCTAAACCCTAAACCCGAATGCTTTTAGGGCCTAATTGAGATTTGCTCCGGCTACCTGACCCAAAGGGTCCTATGTACTGTTATGGGGAATACTTCCCCAAATCATAATAGTAATTCCTAATATAGAAACCCTACATTCTACTATATCGGTACTTTGGACCCTTTGGGTGAGCTGGCAGAGAACTTGCAAAGTCCCTCAGGATCCTAAATCGGATGACTCGGAGGATCCCAGTAATGTAGATGATTCGAACACGGCTTAGGGTTTAGGGTTTAAGAGTTTAGGGTTTAGGGTTTAGGGTTTAGGGTTGAGGAGTTTAGGAGTTTAGGGGTTTAGGGTTTAGGGTTTAGGGGTTTAGGGTTTAGGGGTTTAGGGTTTAGGGTTTGTTTTGAGGTATGTTGTCGTAGTGATAATAAGCAGCCCTGAGGAATGTAGTAGTTCCACCAACATCTCGGCAGCTAGAGCTCTGAGTGCAACCCTGAAATCCCATCGCTACATACTACAGTAAACCCCTTAAAGTTGGAAACCGGATTAAGGCCAAATAGTGCTGGTATTCCCTATACATTACTCTTAAGGATTGAGGCTGTTGGGTTTCCAACTTTTTGGCTTCTACCGTAAGTAACACGCTGGTCAGTGTCACTGATGGCTGCAGGCGACATCGTTAAACACCATGCAACCTGTACCCCGTACTTGGAGGATCATGGGACTTAGTAAGTAAGGTTATAAGTACGTTAATTGGGGTTATAAGTATAGTTACCCTAACTATAACCCTAGTTACTAAGTCCCATGATCCTTTAAGTACCTCATATGGGTGCCTAGTCCCGTCGACATGGCGCTTATCGCCGCTTGGCATTACAGTAGAAGCCAGAAAGTTGGAACCTCATTACCCTCATGCCCTTAAGGTAAAGTATAAGGGATCCTAGCACCAATCCTCCTAAAGCCATGTTCCAACTTTCTGGCTTCTACTTTAACCCCTAGCAAAACTCTCATCAAACCGAGACCCCGCAAGAAGCAAAACCCTTGAGGATCCTTTAAACGGAACCGTCGCGCAGGAATGAAAGCCCTTCCATCCCATGACTTGGCTCGCCGTAGTCTTGCAACATGATGTGAGCGAGATTTCGCGAAACGGATGGTTTTCTTGGATATTGGTACCTGAAGATGTCCCGAACCCAGCTCCTCAGCAAAGGTTTAATGCTTTAGGCGCCAACTCAGGATTTACATGACAGTTTCAGGTGTTCAAGCAGGAAGCTGGGCTTTGGCAGTCCTGAACGCAGCAGCATCCGCCGCCTCCAGCACAAAGGGTGAGGGCGATATGTAATTGTGGTGGTAGTTGAAGTTAGGCATTAGAGTTAGCACTGGTATGTGATTCTAGCGGAGCAGTGCTAGTGCTAGAAGTAGCAACAGCCATAGCAGTAGCAGAAGCAGTAGCAATAGAAGCAGCAGCAGCAGTACCAGTAGCAGTAGCGACAGCAGTACCAGTAGCAGCAGCAAGAGCAGTAGTACGTAGTAATAGTAGTAGTAGTAGTTGATGTTGTAGTAGTAGTGTAGTTGTAGTAGTAGTAGTAGTAGTAGTAGTAGTAGTAGTAGTAGTAATAGTAGTAGTAGTAGTAGTAGTAGTAGTAGTAGTAGTAGTAGTAGTAGTGGTAGTGGTAGTGGTAGTGGTAGTGGTAGCAGCAGTCGCGGCAGCAGCAGTGTACTACTAGTAGCAGTAGCAGTAGCAGTAGCAGTAGCAGTAGCAGTAGCAGTAGCAGTAGTAGTAGTAGTAGTAGTAGTAGTAGTAGTAGTAGTAGTAGTAGTGGTAGTGGTAGTGGTAGTGGTAGTGGTAGTGGTAGTGGTAGTGGTAGTGGTAGTGGTAGTGGTAGTGGTAGTGGTAGTGGTAGTGGTAGTGGTAGTGGTAGTGGTAGTGGTATGGTAGTGGTAGTGGTAGTGGTAGTGGTAGTAGTAGTAGTGGTAGTAGTGGTAGTAGTAGTGGTAGTGGTAGTGGTAGTGGTAGTGGTAGTGGTAGTGGTAGTGGTAGTGGTAGTGGTAGTGGTAGTGGTAGTGGTAGTGGTAGTAGTAGGAGTAGTAGTAGTAGTAGTAGTAGTAGTAGTAGTAGTAGTAGTAGTAGAAATAGGAGTAGTAGTAGTAGTAGTAGTAGTAGTAGTAGTAGTAGTAGCAGCAGTAGTAGTAGTAGTAGTAGTTGTTGTTGTAGCAGTAGTAGCAGTAGTAGCAGTAGTAGTAGTAGTAGTAGCAGTAGTAGTAGTAGTAGTTTGCAAGTGGCGATTCGAGTGCCAGGGGTGCTCATTGTTGCGAGGATCCATTAGCTCCGCCCGGTTTAGGGTTTAGGGGGTTTAGGGTTTAGGGGAGACTGCAGCCGCTTTGTCAACAAAGATGGGGCGAAGTGCGGGGCGCGCAGTTTCGAACCGCAAATCAATGTGCTTGAACTTCGAGCCGTTAAACCCCAGACCCTCAACCCTATAGATCCGTCAAAGGAATACTTAAAGACCCGTTATAGATCCATTGAAGGGAGTCTCCAACCCCTCAGCACCAATCCCCAAACCTGCGAGCCTCCCACCATCGGCTCCCCGAAGCTCCAGCAGCGCAAGAGGCCTCTTGTTCTCTCCGTGCGGGAGTTTCCGAAAATTAGGGGGACCTGAAAGGGTACAAAAAGGGTTCCTTTAAAGGGCTCTATCAGTTTATAAGGGTTTAGAGTTTCCGAGAATTAGGGTACCTGATTCCGGGGTCCTTATCATAAGCATCCTACTACTAAGTACTACTACTGTGGGATACTATATCTTTAAAGGGATCTATATGGGAGAATCCCGAAAAATTGGAGGTACCTTATTTTGGGGCCCCTATAATACGGATCCTGGTGATCAGGGTACTATATTAGGGTCCCCTATGTTCGGAAGCTCCCAAACCTAAACCCTAAACCCTAAACCCTTAATAGAACCCTTATAGATCCCTTATAGATCCCTTAAAGGAACCCTTAATAGAACCCTAAAACCCTTAAT